CACGCACGCACGCACGCACGCACACCTGCCCTGTGGATTGGTCGTTTTCACCAGCTTTGATCTCGTGAGCTGAGCCTTGTTTTCAAGCTCCGCAGCCAGCGCAGAAAGAGCAGCAAGCAGCAGGCCCCATGAGCAGATGCCGCGTGCCGCGGAGTTTTCGTGGGAAAGTAGCAAGTAATTTCTGGGAGACTTGTCCCTGAAACACACAAGGCGTAGCGCTCCGCATTCACACTCACACTCAAAATGGCAGAGCAAGTTCAAAGATCAACACTCGTCGAAGTGTTGCGAAACGCACGCAAAGCTTGACCACGGCCGTGACGTTGTTGTCGACTGCACAGCGCACAGCATCGTGCTGCATGGTGCAGCAGCAGCGGTGCGAGAACCCCGTGAATTAGCGCAGCGACCGTTGGGCTGGGCAGGCTACAGCGCCGTTGGTCGTGCGGCAGGCATCCTTGCCCCTCTTGATCACGTCCTCATGCAGGGCTTTCCCTTTACGAGCTCGGAGCACGCAGGCTGGACGCCTTGCTTGACTGCATCCAAGAAGCTGTCGTCACTACTTTGTTGCTGACCGGGCGACATGACAGCGCGGCACACACGAGGATGAAGCGGCGTGGCCTGCGTCGGGGGTGCTTTTCTGGCCTCTGCTTTTGGCGCAAAGGAATGGTCACAAAGATTCATCCGATCGTTACTCCTCTCTAACACGGAGAAAGCACCTTTTTGGGGGCGGACTTGCGTCGCCCAGCACGAGTGAACTGCCTCGTTGTCGGTATGCGGGCACCACTACTCGAGTCCCTGTCACTGGGACTGTCTCTGAGGTGAAGCACTTGATGCACATCTGCGTCAACAGTCGACCTTACCGAATTTGTGTTGACGATTGCAAGCCAATATCGCGGCTCAAGTAACGTTTCTGCTCGGTTTGTCACACAAGCCGCCTTCCACCCGCTTCGATCTGGGCATGCTACACACCGCAAGTAGAGCATCAGACATGAACAGCTTCCCCACCTTGCACGCCGACCACGTTTGCTGCCAAGACGCGAAACCAACAGAAATCCGCATTCAAGGCTCCGACGAGGATGTACATCGGTATGCGCCAAGCTCATGTGAAGGCGGACTTGCCTTGCTCTCCAAATGTGTGTGTTTTGCTGCTTATCAGAGGACTTCGCAAAGGGCAAATTTGCGTTTGACCGGCGACCTGCAAAGACGCGTTGTAAAGCGGGATCATGAAATTCTGTAGACTTACTCCATCAGTTGGTCGGGCTGTGCTGATAGCCGGTCGCAAGGATGCCGAGGGTGGTGAGCTGGAGGGTGACGACCGACAGGGCCGGCCGTACGCCCTATTGGCGCCACGCCAAGCGTCGCACTGTTGTTACTCGGAGACATGCTGGCCAGAAAGGGACTGATTGAAAATGCACGAGGCAGCGCATGATACACGTTGAATGTGATGCTGCCACAAATCACGAATCACGAATGTCGAAGAGGATGCCAACCTGTCAAGCCACAATCCTGAATCGTCAAGTACAGTACGCTACCGTACATGCACAGTCGTGAGTATACTCATCACTCATCACTCATCACTCACCACGGTGATTTCACAGACGCGCGCGTCCCCTTGCATGCTTCTTCGGCAAAATCGACATGCCTTGCCGGTACGCGCAACACTTGCATGGCATTAAGCCAGAAGAGTAGTGAGTACATGTATACCGGATACAATCAAGAATGAAGACGAAGGAGAGCTCCGATTCTTGAAGCACGTGAGGCGAGTTCAAGGATGGAAGCTGGATTTGAGCAAAGGCTATATGAATCAAAATCAAATCCTGATGAATAATCGTGAAGCACGAATCTTGAATCATGAATA